ACATGATAAAATCCCATCTCTACTAAAAATACAAAAATTAGCTGGGCATGGTGGTGGGCACCTGTAATCCCAGCTACTGGGGAGGCTGAGGCAGGAGAATGGCTTGAACCTGTGAAGCAGAGGTTGCAGTGAGCCAAGATCTCTCCATTGCACTCCAGCCTGGCCAACAAGAGCAAGACTCCATCTCAAAATAAATAAATAATAAAATAAAAGATAAAAAAAATAAAAAGAAGGAATTAGATCCTCTTGCTCCAGCCATGCAAGACATACACACCTCCTTCTTTTTTGCCTTCTGCCATGGTTGTAAGTTTCCTTAGGCCTCCTGAGCCATGCTTACTGTACAGCCTGCAGAACCAAGAACCAGTTAAATCTCTCTTCTTTATAAATTAACCAGTCTCAGGTAGTTCTTCATAGCAATGCAAGAACGGACTAATACAAATGAGAATGCAGATAGAAAAGGTCCAACGTACATGACAGTGAAATTTCAGAAGATGGAATAAAGAGAAGATTCTAAAAGCTTCCAGAGAGAAAAAACAGGTAATATGGAAATGATTGCAAATAATATTAATTGCAAATTCTTCAATTGTATCCCTAGACTCTGGAAGACTAGTTCTGAGGGAAAATAATTTCCAGCTGTGGTAGGCTGAATAATGTCCTCCCCAACCCCCACCCAAGGGTGTCCTAATCCATGGACCTATGAATATGTTACCTAACATGGTAAAAGGGACTTTGCAGATGGCATTAAATTAAGGATCATGAGATGGGCAGATGATCCTGGATCATCTGGGTGGGGCTAATGTAATATTAATGGCCTTTGTAACAGGAGGACCAAAGTAAGATGTAAAAACTCAACCAGAAGTTGGAGTAATATGTTTTGACGATGGAGGAAGGGTCCATGAGCCAAAGTGTGCAGGCAGCCTTAAAGACCTAAAGAACAAGAAAAAAGATTCTTCAGTAGAGCCTCCAGAAGAAAGCAGCCTTGCCAACACCTTGCTTATTGAAAGTGATTTCACATTTCTATGAATAACCTGATGTATCTGAATATACGAAGGTAAGATGTACAGATCTTTTAGGAAGATCTGTTTGAGAATGAGTGATAGATCCATAGATAAAATCCTGAGTCAATAAAAATTAAACATGACAAAATTTTTATAGGGAAGAAAATGTCATGTCATACTCAAATACATAAACTCTGAACAATGTTTACAAAGTCATAATAATAAAATCACTAAAGATTGACTTCACCAAAAGTTGTGATATCAATATTCTGAAAGGAAAGACAGTACATATTTATGGGTATATAAGAGAGCCAAATTGTCACCTTTTATAATAAAACTGTCAATAGATTAAAGCTGAACAATCAAGATATAGCAATACAAGCATGTTATATGGAAACATGGTAATAAACACCATAGGGAATAGTGAAAACTGTTTAAAGTTATTGTCCTTCAGTAGTGAGAATCAGAAATAGAGATAGGACTTTTTCAGTATACTATTTTTAAAAATCTGTGCATATGGCATTACTTTAATAAAATTAACATTTTAGTTTTAAAAAGAATTATTCCCATGAACAGGGCCAGGGGAAGTGGCTCACACCTGTAAGCACAGCACTTTGGGAGGCTGAGGCAGGAATATTCCTTGAGCCCAGGAGTTCGAGGTTGCTACCATAGGACCACTGCATTCTAGCCTGGGCAACACAGCAAGAACGGGTCTCTAAAAAATTTTTTTTTAAAGGAGTTATTCCCATGAAAAATACACTTGGGGTTAGCTTAATCATTCCAGGATGTGTTGTGTGTATGGTCTAATCTGGAAATCATAATTTTTAAGACAATTAAAAGCCATCTGAATATGTTGCCACATTTGCCATTTGCTCAACTCTCAAGGAATACAAATCAAACTTCTTCCCATGACCTGTAGGGCTTGTTGATCTCTCTGCCAGCTCCTTTGCTTATTATACTCTAGACATACTGTCCTTTTTTCATTTTTTTGTTCAAACAAGCAAAACCCCTTCCCTAATGGCCTGCTCACAATCTATTCACCTTGTTTGGAAGGTTATTCCCTCTGTATTCTCCTGGTTGGCTCCTTATTTTTCAAGCCTCAGCTTAAATATCACTTCTGCCCAGCAGCTTTCCCTAACCTTTAAATCTAAAGTTGGTCCACACCCCAGCTACACATCACCTGCTCTCTTACATGGCTCTCTTCTTTATCACAATTTATAAAAATATGTTTGATTCATATTTGCGTGTTTCCTTTACGCTGTAAACTGTCTAGCGCATCTGTGCATAGCAGAGAGACTTGCACATAGTAAGTGCTTAATGAATATCTTTGAATGAACTTGTTTTAAGTGATATAGCCATGCATCTGACATTTAAGAACAGTGATATGCTATATTCTGTTGTGTTGCTGTATGATAGTAAAAATTAAAGAGGACTGAAACAAACTAATACAATTCAGACTTTTCTTTCCTTTTTCAACTTTTATTTATGAATTGGGAGGTACGTGTGCAGGTTTGTTTCAAAGGTATATTGTGTGATGCTGAGGTCTGGATATGACTGAACCTTTTTGAAAACTTAAGAAACTTCCAAATCATGATACCTCTTGTCTCATTTAAGCACTAGCCCTTTATTATACAACAGAGTTGGAACAAGATCTAGATTTTGAGTGCTTATTGGTTAAAGGAGGCTACACTCAGACTATACTCAGTCTGCTTTAATCAAACATTTTATCGCTTGTAGCTTAGTTGATTATGATAATTTTACAAATCAGGGGATTAATTAATGACATCACTGGCCAGGCGCGGTGGCTCAAGCCTGTAATCCCAGCACTTTGGGAGGCCGAGGCGGGTGGATCACGAGGTCAAAAGATCGAGACCATCCTGGTCAACA